TACCGTTTTGTCACTTTGATAACATCAACTCGCGTGATTTCTTCGCCTCCATTACACTATTACCCACCTTCTATTTCATTTTTCGTCATAATCTGGATAACCCGAAATTATCGTAACCTGTGCCTTTGAGGAAAGTTCACGCAGTTTAGTGCCTTGTCAAACGTCAATAGTGTAGGTGCCTGTCAGTCTTTCTTTCATCGTCTTCGCCTGAGAACACTGAAAATCTTACTACGAAAAATTTTCGGTACTGTAAACCCGTTGACGACAATCACGTTCGGGAGGAGGGACCGGCGTGATTTGGTCCGCACGCGCTGCAGCCCATATTTGGATTACATGGTCCAGCATGACCATTTTTTGAATTTCGAGTTGGGAGTTTTTGACTTTGTCTGAATTTACAAGTTTGGGTTATGACTAACGATGATGTTATGCAGAACTTGTATTTCAATCGGCTACGATCGATTATGATGAGGAGCAGGCATAAGATAAGAATGATGCTTTTGGCATCAGGAATAGAATGTGATACTAAGTGAGTGAGTGGGAATGTGAGCTCAGAAAGGCAGTGTCGATTGTTTGTCAAGCGAAATAGAGGAATACGAAAGATTCACTTCCGATGAGAGCTACAGCGTACATGATAACTATCTGTTGATTTCTACAAAGAACGATGCCAGCCTTGGAAGAAACATGTAATAGGGCTAGTTAACGACTACAATACTATAAAAGATTTTGTTGATAAATCTGATGGAATAGCCTCGTATACCCCGTTCGTAAGGAAGACATGCAAATGACGGGAAAGACTTTCTTTTATTTGGTCACCCAAACTGCCATTGTCAATTCAGGAAGCTGCGCAAGGAACTATTAATTCAGGAAGCTGCGCAAGGATATAACAAGACAAATAAAATCCAAAGAACCTAAGAAAAACACGTTTCTTTTTCTATTTCTACTCCGTCAGTGAGGCTAAATTGGCTGAAGTTAAAGGTCTTAAGTTAGAACAAGAAGAAGGTGCTCGAAGTGTTATTTAATTTTCAGCCAATCACACGGAGGTGTAAAGGCTTCCTGGAACCAAGCAGTTTGTAGTTCCACTCAGGCTTGATTTGATGTTTTGAAAAGAACATTTTTAAAAAGTGGAAATATAGATAAATAAAACAAAAAATACAACTGTATTTTTCACATTGGACTACACCGTCAAACACGGCCAAAATGGTGTAGTCCACGCTTAGACTACATTGTCGTCAATGGGTTGAAGCCGACTACTCTTTGTTAAGTGTGAAAGGGAAGGAAACAGGCTGCGTGCAGGAGAGTGCCACCGCCGAAAGCAAACCTTCCTACAAAAAAAAGGTTTTATCTGTTATTGGTGGAACTGCGCGAGCATGTTTCACTTTGAATTTTGTCAAGTGGTGTTACGGTAGCTAATTACGCTACTCAACCACAGAGGCACGATGGGATTCTGAACCAGCGAATTTCTTCCGAGATATCAATTTTGCCCGTATGTTGCGAGAATCACACAACAATTGCGGATAATGGTTGAGATGCTCTGCTTCAACCTGGTATTCTTCTAATGTGACTGAGAACCATCGCCCATTCAGTACTTTGAAACATCATTCCAAAGATTGGAGCTTAGATGATATTGCTACCCTCGAATCCCGTATTTGAGAGGTCTTCGATTTCAGCTTCTTGGAGAAAGGCTTTAAGCAACTGGTGAAACTCCGCTAGTAAGCGGAATCAACGGCCAACATATTGTATTGAGCTCTGCTCATTATCAAATTATAAAACATTAATAAAGTCATGTCGCAAGATCTATGCATCAGCTTCGTACATCTGTGATGCTCTGGCTACTGCATGCGAATTACATCTATATTGGTTATTGCTTTTGTTTCCGTTATTATTATTATTATTTCTGAGCTTTTAGTGTTTCATTTATTTCTTTCCCATCTCCCCTCCCAATGTCTGAATTTACTGAAACAATTTCAATGTTTACCAAATATGACGTCTGTTTATCACTTTGCCTGTCACGAAATTCGACAATACCTGGAGAAGCACGTGGCCGGATCAAGTTTGGGATGGGTAGTCCATAGAGCAAGGTCAGCGCAGCATAAATGAGGTCAGCTCCGTTCGTAGGGAGCGGAACATGCAGCGGAGTGGGAAGTGCCATAAGCAAAACTTGGAATGTACGAAAAAATCACAAAAAGTATCCTAAGCCATCGATCGTATTTGGTCGAATCCTCGAAAGTGGGTGGGGCTAAGATTAAGAAGTCAATGGCTCTGTACAGAAACGTTCTAGAATTCGGAAAGTGCATAGCAGCTGATGGAAGTATTGTCCATCATGGTGAGCGGATCTAAGGTAAGAAGTTCACACCTCTGTCCGAAAACGTTCTTAACGTTCTAAAAACGCTCTTGGTATGAGGCCATCCTACTACTATTATAGATGATTCGCTTAGTGGATCTGTTGATTTGTCGATGTGTTTGTGTGTGTGTCGGTGTGTGTGTTTGACCGGAAATTCATAATTGCTGTTCCCGTGGACATGAAACGTTGAAATTTGGTAGTAGTACAGGCGGCAGGATAAGAACACTCATGGCAGGTAGCGGAACTAGGGGGCGAGGCGGGCGTGCGCGATAGAAATTTTTGATTGCAAATTCATGACTACTATCCCATTAGACCTAGAATTTGGGTGAGAGTATAGCCGACAGGGAGGAAACACTTATGATAGGGGCAAGATCGAATTTGATAGGAGTGCAGGCGGCAGGATGGTTCTCTTATGGTGGATGGCAGGCAGGATCCCAGCCACAAGAGGCGGGGTTTGCTCGAAATAAATGGTTGAGCGGATATTCATAACTCCTGTTCCCGAGCACCTAAAGAGTTCAAATTTGGTATGTTAACAGTGGTACCTCGGCATTTCAATAAGTGATGTAGGATATGACGGGATCGTGAGTACAAATGAAGGGGCCTAGGAGAGCATAAGTCACCTACCAAACAAAACCCTAACCCTTCGATGTACAATGTAGCTTCGACTGTCCAGTATGCTTCATTCGATCGGACGGGATAATAGAGTTGGGTGACAAAGGCGAGCTGTAAGTACAGCGATATGAGCCATTAGCGGCACCACGATGGGCAGATGAGACTTCTGTTCATTTCTTGCTATTAGATTACGACCTCTACCCAGCAAGGTTTGTGACCAATGAAGGATCCTCTTTGTTCGATATCATTGGCGACAAAACCCAGCCAACCTCCAGTAATGTGGAATTCCCAATAAATGATATCTCTGTAAAGAAAAGAGTCTACTGATAACGAAATCTGCTAATGGTGTTATCATCACTCGAAACAATGGTGAGTACCGCCTGAGGCCTTGGTTATCTAACAGTTGAGTCTTTAATGGTATTTACGTTTAAGAAGGAGANTACTGAATCATCATCATTTCTTACTTTATTTGGAAACTCATCTCTGTCTATCTGTCATGGAATACCGGAAATTATTAGGTTATGCTTCAGGCATCACGAGTCAAATTTGGTACAGACAACATCCTACTATTTACAACGAGCTAAATGTGTCCGTTGGTTTGTCTGTGTGAGTCTGTGTGTGTGTTTGGCCGGAAATTCATAACTCCAGTTCGACCTAGAGCATGCAATTGTGCAGATTTTTTTTTGGAATTCAATTAATTTTCTATTAAAATTCACTTTTTTTCTGGAAATTTTCAAAGACTTCAGGATGGGAACTTTTGGTGAGTAGCAGGACCAAACTCCGCCCATAAGGGGCGGGGTTTGAGCGAAATAAATGTTTTAACGGGAATTCATAACTCCTGTTTCCTTGAGCCTATAGCCTTCTAATTCGGTAGGAGTACAGGCAGCAGGATGGGAACGGTTGAGGTGGGTGACGGAACGGGACTCCACCCACAAGGGGCGGTTTCTGCGCGAAAGCAATCAAGCGGAATTTCATAACTCCTGTTCCACTGAACCTAGAGCACTCAAACTTGATAAGAGTATAGCCGGCAGTGTGAGAACACTTATGGTAGGTGGCAGGACCGGACCCCGACCTCATGGGGCGGGGTTTGTGCAAAAAATTGACGTTCTCGCCAAGGAGAACTGGGGTTATTATTTCCGGCCAAACACAAAAACACAATCCGACACATTTCATGCGCGCCCCGCCCACAATGAACTGAGTCCTGCGCAAGTCCTTTGTGTTCAAACAACTTGGTTCATTTCCCACCTACTCCAACGCGACTTCGTATTTTTACTCAAAGCAATCGCGGCCAGCCCAATTCCTTCCAAATTTGTACACTGTGGTACAGTGCAACAGGAGATACAAATTTCCGATCACACCCGACACATTTCCTGAGCGCTCTCCCGTCATGAGCGGATTCTTGCTCATCTCTGTGTTTTCAACTAACCTATTTATCCACTCTTTTTCCAACCTGACTGCGAATACTTGCCCATATCACACTCACTTTACGCAGGCTACGCCCTTACATCCTCCGTATCTCTCCGCTAGCGGAATCAAATTCAATCATTTTCCCACTATCAGTTTCATAATCCTGACTCCCGCATTACTACCAATTTTGAACGCCCCATGTCCAGATTTACAATTTACGCACCACCTTTCGTGGGCGGAGTCCAGTTTTGTCAAGTATCATGAGCGCCTTCTTACTCTTACTTACGCCCGCACCGCTACCACATTTGAGCGCTCTAAATCTAAATTGACATTTTACGCGCATGTCCCACCCCCTGTGATCGAAGTTTTCTATCGCCTATCGTCAATAGTTTCATCCTGTACGCACACACTTACCGGCAAACCATCAGATAAGCTTAGCGCGTTGAATATAGTAGGAAAGTATTCTCAATTCACGGTATAACAGAATCAGAGATGATGGTGAAGTGTAGTTCTGACAAAGCATAATTCGTTCGCAAATGAGGATAATTTTATGCGCAAGTTACGTTCCACCAACCTTCTCAAATCTACTTTTTCGTTAATGCGGATTGAAGATGAGCTCACAAATTTTATTCAAAGGTACATGGCCTTGGCTAAGGAAAATCGAGTAGGTCGGTGGTATTTTGGTGGGCTTGCTTCCGCTGGAGCAGCGTGCTGCACGCATCCCCTTGATTTACTGAAGGTTAGTTTTGTTGGGACGTTTTCATAATTTTCATGTGTTCAGTCTTTAGGTGCATTTGCAAACTCAACAAGCTGGAAAGATAACACTGGGTCAAATGGCCGCCAAACTTTACCGTAGTGATGGAGTGTTAGCATTTTATAACGGTTTGTCGGCATCGCTTCTGCGTCAGCTTACATACTCTACAACCCGATTCGGAATGTACGAGACATTAAAAAAACAGTTTCCTTCAGGTATTTATACTTGAGTATAAAATATATAGCTGCAACTACATGGAATTATTTCAGATAGTCCACTGCCTTTTTATCAGAAAGCTTTCCTTGCCGGAGTATCTGGTGCATGTGGAGGTTTTGTGGGTACCCCTGGAGACTTGGTTAACGTGAGAATGCAGAATGACGTAAAGGTCATTTCATGACGTTTCAAATTTTCAAATATAAGTGGGCTTTTTCCGTTACCCGTAACTCTGTAATTTCCATAGTGCTGTAATTTTAGTTGCCTCCTGCTGAAAGGCGCAATTATAAACATGCTATCGACGGAGTGTTTCGTATTCTCCGAGAAGAAGGGCTTCAACGTCTTTTTGGCGGTCAGTTAATGAATTTGATTTTAAAGTTTTATTCTCTGCTGCTGTTACCGCCCAAAGTTGCAGGTTTCATGTTATCACGGAACCTTGCATAGAGACCCAAGTATGTCGATATTATGTGGAATTCTGTTTATGAACGCAGAAATTGAAATTATGAAATGAATTTCCCAAAAGAAGTATGAGCGCTCAAAGCACATATGAGCGTTGTCCCTTACAACACCAAGCGTCGCTGTGGCGTAACGGTAGTGCTTTAATTCCTCATGCGGAGACTGAGGGTGAAATGTCTCCACACGATGCAGTTTACGTGCAGAGGCTTTTGTTTCAGGTAAGTGCTTTGCGTTCACTCATAACAGAGGTCTCTGTATAAAAATTCTGCTACTCTCTACGATTTTCAATATCGAAGCACACACACGCACACACACATACATGCACAAGAAAAATCGAATTGTAACAGAAAGAATCGCTACGTCAAAAACTCGATAACGATTAACAACCAACAAGTGCGAGTATGTCGTCAATAAATCCCAAACCTTTCACTTGGTCCTTCTCCACAACTATACAGGGAAGGTCAGTGGCTCATAGCCCAACATCGTACATGGGGGTAGGCCATAATCTGGGCAGGTCAGTCATCGTTGACCTACTTACAAGAGAAGGATCCCAAGTCGAAGTGGCCATTTGGAATGCGACCAATAATGCTAGGCGTATTTTTTGATGCTGATTCCAAATCTGCATTCAAAATCTCCCAAGGTTGGAAAAATCTTCTTATGTTAGTATTACTGCCTTGAGCGACTTTTTAGTTGCTG